CTATCTGGGAATTTTCAGTCATGCTGACACTTCGTCGAACATCTAGTGAGCAAAGTCACTATTTCGTTTTTCTGGTAATGTGATTTTCTGATTTCAGTTTTTTTTTTTTTTGATTGAATTGAGAAAAGATAAAGAAGAAGATGAATTCAAATGCAAGGATCTAGACTTGCTCTGATACCATCTTAAAATCAAGGAATGATATGAGATTTAAGCTGGAAATAATGAACTGAACGAAAACGAAAATAACAGAACAGAGATAAAGGATAGGCCTGCCATTGAACAACAGGGAAGATGATGAACTTTCATTCATTCATGTTTAAGGAAATTATAATGTAAACTCTTCTATTTGTAGAGAAAATACTAACCAATTTATCTAACAAACTAACAATATAACAAACTAAGGAAGTATCTAGAATAAGCTAGAAGAAGGAGATGCTGTTGAACTCGTGCTGTGCTGATGCTGTTGAATTGGAGAGATGACTGGAGTGAACTACTGCACTGGAGAGATGGTTTGAGTTAACTGGAGAGGCTGATTAATATTCCAACACATTTCCACATCAAGAACACGTTAAAATCTCGAAGGAAACAAACATATCATTGATTTCAATTAATTTTGAAAAATCAGCAGTACAGATTACAAGAATAACTACGATAAATAGGTCCAGTAGATAGGTTAAGAAGAAAATGCCGAGACACGTGTGTATATACTTATAAATGCATACATCTACCATGATAGTTCCTGAAAGAGGGACCCCTGAAGAGGACAACAAACATTCCAACATCCCAGAGAGCAGAATTAAAGATAACCAAATATAACCACATGTAGTGATTACAAAAGGATGATACAAAATCAACTTTTGCTTCCACACAGATCAATCATACGAGTATTTTAATAGAATATTAAGTTATTAATTACTAAGACTTGTGAGATTTTGCAATTTCCTTGCACATAGAAGTAGAGACCATTATAAGGCTGGAAGAAACGCGAAAATAGGCTATCATTTTAGGTGAGAGAGATACTCCCCATCCTGTGTCTCCTATAGTGTATATGCCATGTCATTTTCTTTNAGAAGGTCCGTCTCCCAGCAAATTTCCCTTTTTCGAATAAACTAAACCAAAATTCTTGCAAAAATTTCAACGAAAGCATCCAACTTACAGGTTAATGATGCTCATCACTTGAAGATGTAAACACAATAAACAAAACTAGGAGAAGTAAAGTTTTCTGATTGTGAAGAATGTGATTAATTTGTTCTCATTTTCAACAGATTTTATAAGTGACATCACCCGCATTTTAGTTTCAACCTTCCCATTCTATCATGAAAAACGTACTTGTAACTAGTGAAAATAAATTCTTTGACAGAAGCCTTTAGCATATTACAATTAGAGACAAACAAATAGGAAGATGTGGATCAGTTGCTCTACCATAGCAAAGAGTTCAGAAGTGGAACTACATCAACAAAATTTACCATTGATGTTATTAATGTGGATGGAAGTAAGAAATTTTTAACATTTTTAATCTTCAAAAACATAAATTGCAGAAAGAAATATTTATAACCTTTGTTTTTGTCATGTTCATTCAAAGACAACCACCAGAAATATGTTTCTGATTATCATCGACCACAACACCCCATGCAACTTGAAACTGAGGTAACTTGACTTGATAAAGGTGTTT